AGGGTGGAAGAGTTGACCTCATAACAGACAGATCTCAACCCCACAATGCTTTGGGCACCCGGGATGAGGCTGCCCCGAAGGCCGAGCAGGGGAAACGACACAGCATAAAGCTGCGTGAGAGACTCTTTCAGTTCCCTCTGTGTGAGAAAGCTCTGGCCTTAAACATACCGACACACACCAAGCCCAAGATCCTGCCCTGGCTCAGTACAACTGCTGCCATGTGCTTTAAGTGAAACCAGCCTGGGTGCTGCCTGTGATGTGCTGCTCACTTGGGACATGCAGGCTGTTTAGCAGTAGGCAGGTGGCTGGCTACAAAGCACAAACCTTGTGAAGTGGCAAGCCACTGAGCTCCCTGCTGAGCCTGTCTGCTGCAGAGACCTGGAGGCAAGAGAGCAAGACCCTCAGCATGCAAACACCCAGTGTACAGGATGGGACGTGTACAGCTTCATACCCACAAACACTCAGTTCTAGCATTGTGCTCATGTAATGAACATTGTGTTGTGCTAGAGGTGGTGTACAGCACATAGTCAGAATTAGTAGAACCTCATGCATTTGCTGCTGTGTACAGAAACAACCATAGAATCACAATGCCTAGACTGTGTCCAATCTGTAGCTTAGAAACAATACTGGACCTACAGGAAGGAGGAAGACTAAAGAAAGAAGATTGCAGCAAGAAATAAAAATAATGACTGCAACAGTTTTTATTGAATAAGCTATAGTCTATATATTTGTTTGTTTAAAAGGTGCCTACAATGATAAAATGGGTTTCATCCTGTATAGTACATGGCCACCGTGTCATTTTGTTTCTGACTTTAAAAAGCTCTAAAAGTCAAAATGGTCTAGTGCTCAGTAGATCTCTGATTTCATATTTTAAAATATGTGAGTTAGAATAAACTTTGGACCAGCTTCTGCTACAGAGTAGCACCCGTTTCCTATTTTCCTTTGCACAACCTGCTTCTCTCATTGGTTTATAAAACTCTTAATGTAAGCTCGATGAAAGAAAGACTAAGACTGTTTGATATGAGATATGATATGATACTATGTAATATATGCCTAAGACTGAGATGATGATACGATTTTCTGTTCTCTAAATCCTAAAGTCTTAATATAATGGATTGTTTTAACATAGAGTATAATAGTATTGATAGGATCATTGATCAGGATGCAGGTCTTCCATTGTACTTTGAACTTGTTCTTTTTAATTCTAACAGGTTAATACTATTTGATCATAACAGCTTTATTTTGGATGTTCAGAAGTTCCTTGATTTTTTTTTATGACGTGACATAGATATAATTACTCTGAAGAGATACAGGACTTTGTGCATGTTATTACTGTTTATCACAATATACCTCCATGTGTCTATGATCTGACAAGACATTTTTCTTGTGGAACTGTAAGTACCTTGAGGTAACCCACTCAATGATGAATTGCACACAGTATGACTACTGGTAGCTTTTACAAGCAGTATCCTGGGACTGATGGATAGACTTGTTGTTGGTCATATAGACCAAATGACAGTTTTATGTTTATGTAGCTGAGGAGTCCCTCTGTATGGTAGTATTTACCATATAATGCCTCTTTGTCTTTCTATATTTTCTCTTACACACTTTATTTTTCCTCTTTTGAAGCTGAGACAAGAAGTCTAAAATTGTGTAAAGAACAGTTAAAGAAGGCCAAAGCTGTACAATAAGCTACATCTTCCCCCTATAGTTCAGTAAACAGAGCTTATCACTGCAGCTTCATGGTTTCAACAAATTGGATTTTTAACTTGTGACCTGTGATGGAACGGTCTCTGCCTATATAAAGGAGCAGATGTCACGTGAAATCTGATTATCACTCATTTCATCAGCCATGGAAGCATAAAATCTGTGCAGAAGAGGGATACAATCCCATTATTTGTCCCTGTGTGATTGCAGCCTGTTTATCCTCAGCGTGTCTGTGTCTACTGACCTGTATTGTGACTACGACCACGTCTCTATGGAGCCATGAACTTATTTTCTGTATTTATTTATTAAAATGGATTAAATAAACAGGATGAATGTGTGCCGTGTGCTGTTTTATAGAAAACGCATGCATGGACGATGTACAGTGTAGTTTCTCCCACACACCAGAAACTAAATATCCCCTTCTCAACGAGGCTGGAGTCGCAACCTGGGCACCTGGGGCTCCAAACCTCCAGTGGCCCCGAAAGCCCCACGGACACTGTATGTCAGTGAATTGCATCTGTTTGAAAATGTGCACCACTAAAGCACAACTGCAACTCAAATGATAGGATGCACACAAAGCACAGAGATTGGGGGTCAATATGGGCTCACAGTTCATTTTTGTCCCAGAGCCCCATAGTGGGTTAATCAAACCGTGCTTCTCAGCTTATAATACCTCAGGTGATGCTATTCTGATACGTAACGATAAGCCAAATGTTCATGTGAGCTCTAACAAAATGCATTTAGTAAATCACTGTGGGCCAGAGAACTGTTACAAACTATTATATAGTTGTTAGCTGTCAAAAAACTGTATTGGAGTAAAAAGTACATGTAATGGAGTAGAAGCCTAAAGTAACATTAAATAAAATACTCAAATAAGTATAAACAGAAGACATGACAACCAGACAGTTTCTTTCTGTGACTTTATTGCAGGACAGCCAGCAAACATCGTCACCTGTGTTTCTGACGTGAAGTTTATCTTTACTAACTCATCACAGCGCTTCAGAACAGAGCACACACACAGGTTTATGATTATTGTCAAGTGTGCACACCTACAGATGCAGTAACTTGAGGAAGCCTCACCATCCATCTGCATCTTTATTGAATCAGTCCTTCTGCAGCCACCAGGGCTTGCTGCACATGGAATAAAATGGACAGCATATAGTGCCTTCTGGTGGCTGGAAAAAATTCTAACTCTTCATAACAATTACATATACAGTAGTAAACAATACACTGTTAAGCAAGTATGGATGAAATGGTGGACGTCCCCGGTGGATTCATCTGCACATTTATTAAATTAAGTCAATCTGCCAGCAGTGAAGAGTGAACAGTGAAATATAACACTCGTATAAATGTATGACGTATCAGTACCTATAAGGTGAATTAGCTGTTGCAGCCAGGTAAACTCAAGCAATCATTCTTAGAGACACACAACAAACTCACAAGTGAGTAGAGAATGAAACCCACACATATAAAAATAATACATTTCTAATAGCAAAGCACACAGCAGTTCTTTGGTAGCTCCCCAAAACTTTCATTGAAAAACAAATCTTGGCACATAGTTTACTGTACTCATCTCGTGTTACAGGTGTCATATGGTCTTATAACCCTAAAGTGATTATTTAAGGAGAGGACAGGGTCATCAATGGAAAGTATAAGTGCACCATTTTCTACAAATGACTCAACTAATTAATTCAAATAAGAAAGTGAATTTAGTACACACACAGATGATAAATCCATTATTGTAGAACAGTTAATAGTCCACTGTAAAATTCTTCACATGCCTCTATAACGTGTCACTCTTTTCACTGTAAGCTGAGCATTGAAACTACAAGTGCAAATTTAAGTACAGGATTACAATCTATCTGTTTTTCTCAATTTGATTGAGCCATAGACAAATGGATGATTTTCTGGAAATAAAGCTGTGCTAGATAAGGCTGTGATTCTGTCATACATTTCTGCCTCGGCCAGTAACGTCAAATAATCTGTCCTGTCTGTCCCTTACTAAGTACTGACTGGCACTGTAGCTGTAGTGATTTTACAAGAGTTCCCCTCATTACATTTGAATCAACACTGTGTATCATAACATAACCTTTTAAAAGGGTATCTGTACACATAACCATTACATTCCATTCGCTGTGTAATATTGTGGAAAAACACATTTTAGTTTTGCACTTGCAGTGTACATGTTATATAATCTGTGCATTTCAAATGGTGCACATTTCAGCAAGGGTGTAGAATTAGGTAGGGATGGACATGATCCTACCAATTTCCAGCAACTAGTGAACTGTTCCTAGCAACAATTTGGATCAATAAAATCCAATATAACCACTGTTGTCTGTCAGTGTCTAGTTAATGTATTTGGTATACAATAAGTGAGAGAATAACATAAACCAAAAGGATATTCCATTACATTTCTATATTTGAATTGTCACCTGCCACCTAAATTTTCCCTTTACATAAATAAAGACTTTCAACAAGTTGAAAAGGCAGAAATTGGTACAGAAAAGTTCACCAGCATACAGAAAATGAAGTGTTAAAGGCTAAAAATTTTATGGGGGATACCCTTGCATTGCAGAAGCACCATGCTTAGTAAAAGCAGCAGAACGCTTCAAAAGTATAAAGGGGGAGTATTAGGGGCACAGCAGTATGCATTGTGGACCCTGCTAGAGATCCCACACAACACTAATGCTTGGGCCACACTGCCTACCATTACCTGTGCATGACTGTTACCTTGCTGAGCTGCTGCGGCTCACGCACGTGTGGTGTCCACACAGACAGCATTGCTGCTGCGGTGCTGATACTGCCAGCCTTATGTTTCTACATAGAGTTTGCCTTTCATAAATACAATACAATGAAAGCCTTGTTAACAAGTGAATGGATTCTGTCCAGAGAAACACTAGAGGGCTTTAAATCTGAAACGGATACAGAAGGTGGAAACAACTGGGAAGACTCTGATACTAAATGAAGAGTAGCTGCGGCCGTGTGCGATATGAGAGGTGTAACATAACAATACTCGTGTACACCAGTACCTCAAATCCTAACTTAACCTTAGCCTTGTACTCCACTTACCCAATTAACCTAGTTAGGTGTAGGAGCAGGTGTTGATCGAAGCTAAAATGGTCAGGTGTGCTGCACTATCGAGCAAGGCCTGACACTACAGCTAACACTTCTAAATTCAAAAATTTTTAGTTACATGTATAGGCACATGTGGCATTGCTGGGGGTGGGGGTTGGTACATTGTTGGACAGGCGCTTGCCTAAGGGTAATGCTTTTCCAGCATTTCACCTGGTGCATTATCTTAAACATATCATGGCGATTTGGAGCGCAGACTGAGTGGGACTAAGAAAGTTCATTTATTTCTGATGTTTGAGTTAAAGTGGGTGACCGTTTATGATACTGCAACACCACGCTTCAGTGGTGATGACAGAATAGCATGCATGCCAGCATCTTCATTTGAGTGAATTACTGATAAATCACTGAGGTTCAGGTAGTGTGGCCCGGCCGTGAGGTTGATAATGTATCTTGTGGTTGTAGCAGCTCAGCACAGGGCAACATAAAACATCACCCTTAACGCATCAGGACTCTTCAGAATGCTGCCTCTAGAGGAGGAGAAAGAAAGTTGTCACACAGATGAAGGACAACACTGAAATGTTGAATAATGAAATGTCTGGGGGTTCACCTGC